GGGGTGGGGGCGGGGTTCCCACGTGATCCGGGGACACCGTCAGTTCTGAAAGACTCGGATCCTGGAAGGTGGAGAGAGAACCTCAGCGAGGGAAGGGCGGGTGGCCCTGCACTCCCTCCCCCAGGCTCGCGCCACCTCCCACTACACTCGGCGGCGGTACTGGGTGTGCCTCTGGTCCTGCAGCTGCAAAGGACGGAGGTCTGTGCGCTCGTGGGTGCAGGTGTGAGCGCTCCTGTGTGCATGTGTGTGCGTGCCCGCAGGTGCAGGTGTGAGCACGCGTGTGTGCATGCGTGTGAGTGCCCGTACGTGCAGGTGTGAGCGCGCGCGTGGTTAGGGGATGCGGCGGAGACGACCGAAAGACGGAATGAACCAGGAGGGCGGAAATCTTGGATCAGAGCCCGAGAGGGGCTGCTCAGTCACTCGTCGGTGCTTTGAGGGCAGTTGGCAACATTTAGTTGCTTTTTTTTTTTTTTAGCTGAAACAAAGCAGGTGGGGGGCACGCCTTGGGAAAGCCACAGTCTGGGCACTGCCTCATCACCCCGGTGGCCCTGGCTACTGTGGATATTGAGAGGGTTTGGGGCGCCCTGACCCCGTGGCTGGAGGTGGAGCCTGTCCAGAGACAGAAATCAGGTCTGCTAGGATCCTGGCTCTCTGCTCACCCCCTAGCATAGTCTCCAGAGTCATGTGGCCTGAGACTGAGTTGGAATAGTGGGAAATTCTCCCTCCACTCAAATCTTCAAGCACAGCAGAGCAGCGCAGAGGCAGAGCCTGAGCTCAATGCACACCCTGCTGGGTAAGAGCCACTGCCCTCCCTTTTGGATTCCTGCCTGCCTCAGGAAAGAAGAAGGCATGCATTTGTTCTTTAATTCAGGTGACTTGTGGGAAAGGCAGCTGCAGACATCACAGACCCTGCAGGGGGTGGACAGGCTTCTCTGATGTTACCGAGGGCACCTCTCTGTCTGTTGCCCATCCTTTTGTGTTCGACACCCCTGCCCTAGACCCTGAATGTGTCTCCCCGCTGTGGGGGGCAGGCACACCCGATCAAGCCATTGAGACCAGTGTCCACCAGACTGTAGGCTGTGCCAGGGCACGGACTATGACTGTCTTGTTCTCTGCTATGTTTCCAGCACCCAGCACAGGTGCTCAATGAATACCAAGTGAACATGGTCAACAATAAAAAAATGGTTTTTTAAATAACAAGGGTACAAATGCTTGTCACTGGGACCGGGATGCACCAAGCCTATCCCTATCCTTTCCTGTAAGCACAGCAACACGACAGCCACATAAAAGCTTAGTCTTATGATGACAATCTGGGGCTCCTTTTGCCATGGAGACCAGTGTGAATGAGACAGGGGCCACATACTAAACCTGACAAGGAGACCTGGAAACTCAGAGACTGAAAGCAACCACACAGGATGGCCTAAACATGAAAATTCCTAACTATTAATAAAAGCAGGTCATGGTGGGCAGTCACTTCCTAGGCCTGTAGCTTCCTTGACAAAGGTCAATTTTTACCTTACGTGAGCCTATTGTCTTTTTGCATCTAAGATAACACACCTTTGAAATATCAAAGTAATCTCCTTTTCCAGACCTCCGAGGGCACAGCCACAGCAACAGAGCTTGAGACCACAGAACCCCTCATTGTTGTCTTGGTCCCTCAAATACCATCTCTATGTGCTGTCTTTGTGAATTATTATCTATCCTGTACCCACCAATGTAAAAGAAGTATGTTTCTCTCTGTTTTACTTTTCATCTAATCCTAGGGATTCGCCCCCTTTGCTTTCTTTCACCCCCTTAATCTACCGCCAGTGGAATTCATGTAATCCCTTCTTAAGCTTCCTCCTTTGTATAAATCTATAGAAAAAGCTGCAAAACTGCCATTCTCTGGAGCATTTTCTCAATCTGTTGAGATTCTGCTTCCCAGCAATTGTCGTCAGCTTGGCAAATAAACTCCTGAGAAGTTCTCTACGGGATAGACATTTCTTACGTCCACACTGAGTGCACACAGCCTACTGCCCAGACACCCTCCCCAGGGACAGAGAAAGAGTGGCCCTGCCGGGGTTTGCCTCCTAGGCTGCCCTCAGTCTCTCTGTAGAGGGATGGATTATTCAATGTGGCTGCAGTTGGCCCTGACAACCAGGAAATCTATCAGCCCTCTTAGGGGATTTAGCTTGTCTTTCTGTTCATCCATTATATGTTGATCTTATGGTTTAAATACTCTGAGAAAAAAAGTTCTTAATTTCTTGATTCCCTAGTTCTTGGGAGAGGCTTGTGGCTGTGCAGCTCCATGGTCTGGTTGACACACATTATACATGCATTTTTCAGCCCAGGAGGTGCTCTGTCCTGGGGCAGCAATGACTTTGGATTTAGCATAAAGAACATGGGATTTCTTCTGCCCTGATCGGAGGAGCCTGGTTGACTTTGAAGCAAAATATCTGGTATATGTCATTTTGTAAGTATTCTCACTATGATGGGACCTTGGGCCAGGAGACAGAACACTTGGGTCCAGTTCTTGGCCTAGACCTAAAAAATGAGAAATATGGGTGTTGCAAATTTAGGTGAGCCTAACTTTTCCATGTCCAGGTCTTCCAAAGAGTACAGGTGACATTTGAGGGTAGCAGACATAATCGAAGAGCTACCCAGGGGGCTTGGAAGATGCTAAGTGTGTGTCCTTCATTATCTGAAAATTGATGAGGTAGTGCTTGAAAGCAACCAAAAATTTGTGTGTTCTCATGTTAATTAAAGCACAGAACCGCTTCCTCTGTCCATTGTCATCTGCTTCGCTAACCTTCCTCCATAGAGCAAATGATGAATTCACAATTAGGTTTTCTCTTTAGAATATGACACACAGGAAATTATTTTTCTCCTATTTATAGAAATTCCATTTGCATTTATGAGGCTGACAATGTCTCATAAATATTTTCTGCCAGATAAAATATTAATTAAAAGAGCTTGTTGAGTTATACTCTAAAGTCCTAACCCAAAATCTCCTAAAACAAATATTTTAAGTATCTTCTCTCATGTCAGAATTCCTCATACATTAGTTGTGTATGTTAATAAGTCTGTGTTCAAACAGCAGATATGAGTCAATTAATAAATATTAATTTGCAAGATTTAAGGATACAAAAAGGTATGAGAATAGTATAACGAAGAATCATGAAGCTATCATCCATCTTAAAAAACACAGCACAACATTGCCAACACTGTTGAATCTGCTCTGGATTACCCGTTCTTCCCTCAAGAGAAAAATCAGTAGGTAGCCTGAATTTGGTGTTTCTCTTTCTCTTGATTTCTTTATGCTAACCCCCACCCCCCAACTGTACACACATACATCTATTCAATCCATGAATATTGACCATATATAAGTATTTTTATATTCACAAACTCTTTTGATGGATTAATTAAGGCCTGCTGCTATATTTGAGACACTTTGATAGATGCTGTGAAAAAACCAAAAAAGTATTATGGTGGGCTTTGATCTAAAATGCCTTACACCCTATTTGGGGGGGTGTCAATCTATGTGCAAGAAAAGTTAACAGACAAATTCACAAGTTGGGGTTTTAATTCATAGGTGTTAATTGGATAGGCTGATGGTGCAGAATAGATATTACCGGCTAACAAAACTTGGTGAGTAGGAGCTGAGAGCTGACATCTGACTCCAGAGAGAAGGAGCATTTGGATGAGCCAGGAAGCAAGACCAGAATTTGACTATGAGGGGTTTGGTGTATGAAAAACAGCCTGGAGAGGCAAGGCCCAAGCACGTTCAGGGACCTGAAGTAATGGGGGTTTGTACTGGGGGCAAAGGGGAGGAGGTAAAGTGTAAGGAAGTGATGATGACAAGTGGCTCTAATTAAATGAGAACTTACTATGTGCTGAGCTTTACTAAGTGCTTCACATAAATAAAAGCTTTTAATCTTCTTAACAACCTGGTGAGGGTGGTAGGAGTATGATTGTTTCTCAGATGAGGAAACTGAGGCTCACACAAGTAAAGTATCCTCTCACTGGCACAGTTATTCATAGTATATTTCAGAGCCCAGTTTTGTTAGATGCCAAAATCATACTTCTAACTGTTATGGGATGAATTGTGTCCCCCACAACCACCGACTCCTCAGATTGATATGTTGAAGCATTAACCCTCTGTATCTCAGAATATGACTGTATTTAGAGATAAGGCCTTTAAAGAGGTGATTAACTTAAAATGAGGCTGTTATGACAGGCCCTAATCCAATCTGACTGGTTTATTTATTTATCAATTATAGCTAACATTCAATATTATTTTATATCAGTCAGGTATACAGCATAGTACTTAGGCATTTATATAATTTATGAAGTGATTCCCCGATTAGTACCCAACTAGCGGTATCTCTTACATAGTTATTACAACGTAATTGACTATATTCCCTATGCTATACTTTATATCCCCAAAACTATTTTGTATCTACCAATTTGTACTTCTTTTTTTCTTTAAAGATTTTATTGGGGAGTTGGGGGAGGGGAACAGTGTTGGGGAATTGGGGAAGGGGAACAGACAAGTTGCTGTCCTTTTGTTCTTCAGTCTGTTGTGGAGGACGTTGTTTCACTGGCCCGTGTTGGTATTATCATTGCACTTTTCCCAGGTGAAGTAGTCGCTCACTGGCCATTGGATGGCTACTCACGGTGGCTCATGAAAGCTCACGCCAGCTGCTGGCCAGCCCCACTGCAGCCTACGCCATCGCCAGTGACTCACGGCAGCCCAGCTCCAGGTCGAGCTGTTGTTCACCATCT